TATGAATGTCTGGGAGTGAAAAGTAAGTTTAAGTAGTTTTTAAAGGTCCATAGGTGATTCTCATGCACAGTGAGACTATGCATGAGGCTAAGAACTGTCTCAGATGTTCACATTGCTGACTCAAAAATGTCACATCCCAGAAAGGCCCCGTCCAAACAGCGCCCTTCTGCCGCTCAACCCCACCCCACCAGTCTGCGCCATTATCTAGTGCCTTCATAGCTGTAAGGGCTGTCTGAAATGATCAGTGTGTTTATCATGTTTTCCTCCAAGAGAATGCTATGCCTTGTTCAGCTCTGTATTCTATTACCTTGAACAATGCCAGGAATATAACAGGAGCTCAATAAATATTTACTGAATGAATAAATATATATATAGATCCATGGTTCAGAACAGTGTTAGGCTGGAGAGAAATAAAGAAAATTCATGAGCATTTAGATACTAATCAAAACCACACAAATAATGTAACAGAATATGTCAAGAGGGAAATCAAGAGAGCCAAGAAAAAAACCCTAAGAAACATCACCATTTAAGGGACCAGCAGATGAAAATGAGCCAAGAAGGAAAAGTGAAAAGGAAGGGCCAAAGAGGGAGAGGGAGAAGTAGGAAGTCAGGAGAAACATGTATTTCAAGAAAGAAATAATCAACAAAGACGAAAATGCTATAAAAAAGCCAAGCATGGCAAGAGTTGAAAATATACATTGAATTTAGCTACAGAAAGGTAGCTGAATTACTCAAGCAAGAGTGGTTTCTGTAACGTGTTACTCTAATTTCATGCCCAAAACAGACTGAAAAGAGTATTTCATAATGTAGAATATTTTTATTATAGAAAATAATGTAAAATATTTACATCATGGGGAATAAGTGAGAGATGAACATCTTCAAATACCGCCTCCCAACTATATTTAGTATAATTAACAAAAATAAAGCTATTAAATGGGCACTTACACAATCGTAGAAGAGACAAAAAAAAAAGTAAGGAAATTACACTGACTTCAACAATGTTCTTGGATCAACCACAGATGCTTAATTCCTGATGGTGTAGGAAATGCATAATGAAGTAATCTTTACATAAAGAGAATCTGAAAACCTTGCTAAATTGACTTAGAGTCAGAACATATCTTTTTCAGTCACATAATGATTAAATTCTTGCTTTAGAAAATACTTTAAATATTCCTTAAATTTCAGCACGATTTTGATAAACCTTGTCTCACAGGCCTGCTTCACAACTACTGAACATCCTGAAATGCAAAACTCACTGCCCATGTTCAGTAAATCTAGAGTTATCTAAGACTGTCTCTAATAGCATACAGCTGATTCTATGATCTTCAAGAACATTCCCACCAAAGGTGGCAGAGGCCATGAAGTAGCAGATGACCGTTTGAAGCAGCACCTTGAGTCTCATAAAACACATACAACTGAAAAATACCTGCTAGGAACATCTCTGATAACTGTCAAATTATCTCTCAATATCAACCTGAAACTGTGAATTCAGAAATTTATGTTTTAAAAAAGATCAAGTGGATAATCCTGAAAAATATTGCTAACAAACCAAATACAGGATTACTTCAATGATAAACATTTGAGCACCAACTAAATGTTATTATGCTAGGTGTTCCTGCCCTCAAGAGTGTGTGATTTAGCTAAGGAACTAAAAAGGAACAGCAGCAACACACACACACACACACAAATTCTATACATATGTAACATAATAAAGTATGTTACGTGTAGATATGTGTATGTGCATGTATACATACATATATACATAGGTACAGTTTTGTAACTTGTAAAGAGAGAATAACCAAAATAAATTTGAGCAGAAAACAAATCAGCTGGGAAAGCTCTGAAGAGAAACTAGGACTTGATCTTGGCCCTAACACATGGTTAGGTCTTAACACATGGTTAGATCTTAAATGAATGGAGAGGCATGGGCAAAAAATATCAATCACAGGAATGGTGGGTGAATAAGTATAAAGGTCAAAAAGTATGTGGCAATTTGAGAAAAATAAGCAGAAAAGGTTGGATGAAATGGAGTAAGTTCACGGGAGGACTGGTCCATAAGCTGGAAAAGTGACTAGAAGCCAGATTATAGAAGAATATCAAAGGCGTTTAGACTTTATTCTGTAAGTAATCAAAAGTTTTTCAGCAATAGATGAGTGCAAGCAGTGTTGTTTTGGAATAATAACTTTCTAGGGCTTGCAGGATAGATCAAATGAAAAACATGGAGACAGAAAAAAACAACTAGGCAACAAACATTTTGCCAACAGAACCTTAACTAGACGACTGTCCAATGTACACTCTGGTTTCCTCGGCTAACAAAATATTTTAAAACTTGATGAGACACAAACATTGTACTTATCTATTTAGACACTAAGCCCACTCATCATTTAATACACTTACCTTCTAGTTTCACAAACAATCCCCTTAACATTTACATAAAAAGCCTGCCTGGTGTTTCCATTAATATAACCAATTGTTTTACATCTACCTAAACTCTACAGATAAGTCATTTTAGTAACTCAGTGAGAAATGAATAGTTTGGTCTGAATTTCTTAGCTGCTAAGTTTAATTCTGTAAGAGCTGAAAGGAATGAGATGCAGCTAATGAACCTTGCAAATAAAAAATAGTCCACGCCCAAGGGTTTTATTTTCAACACAGAGGAAAAGATTTGTTTCTCTGAAGATGTGTGTACTTCAGAGATTTGTAATGGTATGCTTTTTGAATCACAATGAAGTTTTATCTTAAAGCATAATCTATACAGTTCATGAACTAAAGCACAAACTCTGGATTAATATTTATTGAAAAATAATAATAACAAAAGAAAGACAAGTTTTCATTTAAAAGGTCTGCGGTCTGGATCTCAAGTTTTCAAAAATACTCCCAATCTGAGGCATCTGAGTTTGTAGATCAGTAAACAATATTACTAAAGTTGTATAGAATGATGAAGAACCACTGCATTTAATGGGAATTTATTTGTTCAGCTAAAAAAAAAAAATGTGAATTGCTAGAGCTGTATACACTTATTGCAATTAAAATTATCTTTGTTCTGGGACTTTCCAAATACAAAAAAACTAGAAATTACTACCGAAAATTGGTAAATTTTTAAGAGCAAGCACTCAGAGGGTATAGCTTGTATAATTTGCAAATTTTAAGCAGACTTTATGCCAACTTATTTCAGAGAGCCTACAATGATGAACTATTTTAAATTTCCCCTTAATTTCCATTTGAAGTGGTAGGACATGTAGGTGGGGTACTTCAGTAGAAAAGGATTTCATGAAGTTCACCTGCTGGTGGAAACTTTCTGCATGAGAGAATCAGAACAAAAAAAGGTCTTTCCTTCAACAAGGATATTCTTTCTTAACAATGATAATGGCAAACATTTATTAGAGCTTACTATAGTCTAGGCATTACTCTAAACAATCTACATATATTGTCTCACTTAATCCTCACAGTGTCCTCAAAGGTAGAAAACATTATTATTGTTTATAAGTTTAATTATCTATTTCACAGATGAAGACACTGAGGCAAAGAGTTTAGTGGAGCTGGGATTCAAAATGATGGAGTCTCACTCCAGGATTCATGCTCCTGACCACTACATATTTAAAATAACAGTTCCTGAAAACTCTATTAAAACAGGTACCATTTAATTATAATCTTTTTTTTTTTTTTAACATTTTTACCGTCTATTACATATCGCTAATATGATCTCAAGTAATGATGGACCTAAATATAAAGGCACTAAGACAAGGAAAACAAGACAGGAAAGAAAATTCCAATCCATTTTTAAATGGATTTGTTTTGCTCTTAAGTGTGGACAAATTTGATCCAGGAAGGACATCAAAAAACGGCAAACTGAGGGCCAAGAGTCAGAAATAAGATTTACTCAAAGAAGGACTGAGAAAATCACACATTCCTCATGGAAAAGAAAAACATGTAAAGATGAGGAGAAAACAGAATATGAAAGAGTAAACGTTTTTTCTGATTAGGGCCTGACCGTAAGGATTTGGAGGCGGCAAGAGACAGCTTTATAAGGGAAGAAATGGTTCTCCAAGGATAGAGATAGGCCCAAGGATAGAGATGGAATCTGAGAAAAAAGGTCAAACTGAGCTTACTGTGAGGGAAGGATGCAAAATTCCTACGTGTCTGCTGCAAGAAAAATAAGCATGGGAAGGAGAAGTCAGAGTCAGAGCCACAGACCAGGAGAAGAGAAAGAGAGTAAGAAGGTAGCCAGCAGATGGGGCAGAGAGGCCCGGAGAAACGCGGGGTCACACCCGGGCAGGCTTCCACCGGCGAAGACGCAAGGGCCGGGCCAGAGAGCAAACGCGGGCAGGAGGAGTCCCCGAATACCTCGTCCAGTAAGGCGGACACACGCTCGGGCCTGCCAGAGGGCCCAGGAAGGTGGCGGCGGGAAGAGGTCGCAGATGGTGGGCAGAGGCGGCGGCTGAGGAGACGCGGTGCACCTATGGGCGGCCCCTGTGCCCACCTGACTCGCCCGCGGCTCCCAGACCCTCTACACCCGCCTGCAGCCCCCCCGACCCCACCTGACTCGCCAGCGGACCCCCGTCCCCACCTGACGCGCCGAAGGCTCGCAGTCCCCAGCAGACGCTCCCGCGGCCCCCAGTCTTCCCCTGACGTTCCCGCCGACCCCGTCCCCACCTGACGCGCCCGCGGCAGCCTGTACCTACCTAGCGTGCCTGCGGCCCCCGTCTTCACCTGACGCGCCCGTGGCCCCCAGTGCCCACCTGGCGCGCCGGTGCCCTGGGCCCGCACCTGACGGCGACCTGGGCCCGCACCTGACGGCGACGCGGCGATTATTGCCGGAAGTGGGCCGCCACCTCCCCGCGCGCGGCAGGGAAGCCCCGCCCCTGGCCCCGCTGATTGGCCAGCGTGGATTCGCGTGGCAGTGTTGCGGCAGGGTCCTGACGCTCGCAGCGAGCGCCTGCGTAGTAGGCACCGCCTCTCTATCCGCGCGAATCTCCAGTGCCGGGCACGGGCACGGGGAGGGACTCCGGTGGGCAGGAATAGGCAGAGTCGGTGCCCGCGACCTCTGCCATCGCCCGGAGATGCAGATGAGGCCCCGAGATTTAGGCCTGCGAGACGGGTGACGACGTCGGTCCAGCTCTTCACTGGAGTAAGCCGGCCAGGGCGTTGAGGCGTTCGCGTGTCCTGAAGACGCGCATCCCCGAGAGTGGGCGTGCCCGTGAGAGCGTGGGCGTGCCCGAGAGCATGCGCGTGCCCGCGCCGCGCGGGTCCCCACGGGAGCCTGGTAGCCCTATCGTGCGTTTCCACTCTGCGATCGTTTTTCCACCCGGCTGGGCGCCAAGCCCAGGGTGTCTGCACTCCCGGGCATCACGGGCGCTCGCACTCAGCATTTAGGCACAAGCATCTTCTCTTTATAAACAGTTTCGAGTCTTGTCAGATCTTTCTAGAAGGTTGAAATTCCCTGGAGGAGCAGCGCGAATAGTTTTTCCAATTAGGAAGAAAGAATGTGGGGCAGCAGGAGGGAGGGAGGCAGGCGTGGCCAAGTAGGCTGGGTGGGTCCGGGAGCCGCAGCCCCCTGCCTCAGTTTCCTCCTAGAAGCTGGAGGTGACGGTGCAGTTTACAGGATTTCTGTAAGAACAAATGAGTTAGCGTGTACAAAACTTTTAAAATAGCGTATGGCGCCTAGCAAGCAAATATGAGTATTAGTCTTTTCCTTGTTAAAATGTGTGCATCTACATTTGGAGCATATGGCAAGAAGTGTATAGTATGGATTCATATTTTGGAAAAGTAATTTTAGAAGTTGTTTCTGATGCGCCTATTATAATAGGGTTTCTTGACCACATGCTTTTAAATAATGTGAAGGTAAGGAGGTAGGCAACATTGCTTGCGCATCCTCAATTTAAACACCTGTCTGTCCCTCCCTCCCTCCTTTTCTTCCTTTCCCTCTGTATTCCCTTCATTCCTTTCAGGGTTGCAGATTATTCCATATTATAAATGTATCAGTTTATTCGAATGTCTCTATGATGTCTGTGATGGGCTTTAGATGGTTTGCAATAGTTTGCCATTGTAAATAATGCCCAGTCGCTCTGTGGTTTCGTTTAACTTGTGGAGGTATATTTGCAAATGAATACCTGTGATTGTTGTGTAAACCAAAAAAGTGTCTGAGGTAGATCTCCATGGATTTAGAGACTTATTTTTCCAAAACTATGGATGTGCCAGGGGAAGAAAACACCGGTTACAGTAGGGTTTATGGCTTTTGCGTTTTTCCAAAGAGGATTTTCAGGACTTCGGTATTTAAAGGGAAAAGCGCCGGCAGGAGGGGAAGAGGGAAGAGTAGGCTGTGAGGCTTGTGGTCACGTTCTTGTGAGGCTCTGATTAGAGTAAAGCAAATCTACGTTTCACATGTGAAAAAAGAGGCGTAGGGGAGAGTTATGCATCTCTCTCATCCTCAGTAGATCTACGTTTCACATAAAGTAAGCTTTGGGGAACAAAAGGAAGGCAGTGTGTGTGTGTTTTGCCAATATTAACTTTTCCCATTGGCACAGTAAGTTTGGAGGCCTGAGATTTTATTTTTCTTTCACAGATGGGTCAGGGTTAACTGCATATGGAGTATATAAATTGCCAAGCCAAGAGCCCACCACCACAATAGGGGACATAGTAATATTAAATTTAGCTCAGCTGGCCAGCATCCGTATAATTCCTAGTGAAAGAATTCCTGACTGGTTGGAGAGTCCACAGAATAAGAGCAGGAATTCACAGAGTAACCACGGAGAGATTCACAGAGTAACGGTAGGACCCAAAGAGTAATAGCAGGAATCCACAGAGTAACTGCAGGAGTCCATGAAGCAGCTCTGTCCAACTGAGGTCAGCATATTCATGGTCTTGGGTCTTATCTTTGTGTGTGCTTTGTATCAGGACTGAGCTTAGCTCTGTGCTTGTGAAGAGTAACCCACTCAATGCCCTCTGGAATTTCACCACTGGAGGAGGGAGGAAAAAAACCCCAGAGGGGCAGGGAGAAACGCTTTTCTAAACACGTGCAGCTGGAGATTGTGGAGCAGTTGCCCAGGTGGAAGGCGTAGCAGCAGGAAGTAGAGACTACTAGGGAGGTGCCTCCTTAGCCACAGAGATCTTTTGGCAATCAGTTTATTGAAAAATAATGTTTTAAAATTTTCTTTAAAGTAGTTGAACCTGACAGTATCTAAGGAGTTGAGGAAATTTAACCCCATTGTCGTGGCCGCTGTCGAGAGCCAGAGCTCATCCTGGCAGGAAGCTGGGACAATGCTGGTCACAGTGTTCCAGGTACCCCTGTCTCACAGAGGATTAGGGTGGTGAGCACAGGGGCCCCACGCTTCGCTTCTCGGATACACATAGCACAGTCGTCTCCTCTGACCTTCCCAAATGCTACACAGACAGGTGTAGTCCCTGACTCTCAGGAAAATGTAGACTGGGTTACCTTCTGGCACAGGGGAATCTCTTCCTTCTTCCTGTTCCTGCCACTCTGAAGCATGTGGCATATGTTTAATGTGGTCTTTACACAATATGGAAAGACCGCTTCTGCTTTCTATGCAGTGATAATACTGCAATAAGGAAAAATGAACCAAGCCACCAAAACAAAATCCTACCATCTGATGTGGAACTGGAAGGGCAATGGAGCAGTATCTTAGAGCTAATGCAAGAGCCAGGCACTGTGACAGTGCCGTGGGTACAAGGAGGAGGTGTCTCAGAGCTAACACTCTGTGCTGACAGCAGCTAGGCACTGCGACGGTGCCATGGGTACAAGGAGGAGGTACCTGGTTTTCAGGAGACTGCCATCTGAACAGACCCAAGGTGGCAAATACACAGTAAGAAAATGGAGACATGACTGCTGTGATTACCTACAGAATGTTTAGGGGGACTGGGAGCAAAAACAATCCCCTTACAGAAACCAACCCTGGAAGGTGCTGGAAGGTGTACTGGCTGTGAAAGTCAGAGGTCAGCAGGCAGTGATGGTGAGACCAAAGGCAGTAGTCAGTTCAGGCAAGCCGGTGTGCTTATTTATTTCAAATCCCTCAGTCTTGGGTCTCCTCTTATCTTTTAAATAAGGCGTTAGAATAGAATTTTGAGGCTGTTCACCCAGGCACCACACTCCTCATGTGTGGTGTCAGAATGGGAAGGCCAACATGGAGACCACGTGGCCATTGACGTTTGAAAGTCTGTGGTTGCCAAAAAGAACCAATCAACAACAGGATTCATCCCGACCGCAGCCAGCAGGCAGCCCAGACCTTGCATGCCACAGCTCCGCTGGGCTCTGGACCGCTCTCAGCTGAGCCTGGTAAATGCCAGCTGGTTGGCTGCAGCCCCTGAGTGGAGATTGGCTGTCCTAGCAATAGAGCAGGGTGGGGACACAGCAGACTTGGGATCGTCACCTGGATTCCTGGATGTGCAGCTTCAAGCAAGTACGTAGCCTCCTGAACCCCAGCTCTCACCTGAAAGCTGGGTTAGGCACACACAGGAAAGCAGAGGTGGATCCAGGGCTGGACTTGTGGTTTTTCTACCCAAACTCTGCTGCTCCCTGCCCCTCCACCATCCCTGCAAAGCTCTTCAATGACCAGGCCTGGATCAAGAGTTCTGTCTTCCTCCTGACTTCCTGGGAACTTCAGAAACCCAGCATGTTTTCATAGGTTCAGGGGTACATGAGCAGTTTTGTTATACAGCTAAACTCATGTCTTAGGGGTTTGTTGTACAGATTATTTAATCACCCAGGTACTGGCCTAGTACCCAATAGATATTCTTTCTGATCCTCTCCCTCCTCCCACCCTCCAGCCTCAACTAGGCCCCAGTGTGTGTTGTTCTCCTGTGTGTGTCCATGTTTTCTCATAATTTAGGATATTAGGATAATGGCCTAGTTCCATCTGTGTTCCTGCAGAAGACAGGATCTCGTTCTTTTTTATGGCTGCATAGTATTCCGTGGTGTACATGTACCACATTTTCTTTATCCAGTCTATCACTGATGGGCATTAGGTTAATCCCTTGTCTTTGCTATTGTGAATAGGACTGCAGTGAACATACACGTGCGTGGGTCTTTATGGTAGAACAATTTATATGCCTCCTGGTATGTACCCAGTAATGGGATTGCTGGGTCGAATGCTAATTCTGCTTTTAGCTCTTTGAGGAATCAACATACTGCTTTCCACATGGTTGAACTAATTTACACTCCTATCGACAGTGTATAAGTGTTCCCTTTTCTCTGCAACATCACCAGCATCTGTTATTTTTTGACTTTTTAGTAATAGCTGTTCTGACTGGAAGGAGATGGTATCTCATCATGGTTTCAATTTGCATTTCTCTAAAGATCAGTGATAATGTGCTTTTAAAAATGTACTTGTTAGCCACGTGTACATCTTCTTTTGAAAAGTGTATGTTCATGTCCTTTGCCCACTTTTTAATGGAGTTGTTTAGTTTTTTTCTTAAGTTTCTTATCAATGCTGGATGTTAGACCTTTGCCAGGTATGTAGTTTGCAGATACTTGCTCCCATTCCATAGGTTACCTGTTTTCCCTGCTGATAGTTTATTTTGCTGTGCAGAAGCACTTAAGTTTAATTGGATCCCATTTGACAATTTTTGCTTTTGTTGTTGTTGTTTTTCGTGTATTCGTCATGAAATCTGTGCCCGTTTCTGTGTCCAGAATGGCGTTGCCTAGGTTGTCTTTCAGGAAACCCAACATCTTATGATTTGTTTCAGTCATTTAAATCTTAGTCCAGCCCTGCTCTCTACTATCAGGAAAAAAAAAAAAAA